CAGGATCACCAGCCAGCTACACACCACCAGGATCACCAACAAGCTACACACCACCAGACTCGCCTCCTGGATCCTACTCACTTGATCTTTCACGCAGAAGACTCTGGGGACCTAAGAAATATACTCAGACAAGACCGACAATCTCTTATAGAGAACGAATTATATAGTTTTTGACATAAACGGCCCTTTTCAGGGCCACATAAATTGTAAACATAAAAACGGTCCTTTTCAGGACCAACGAATTTATAGAAAGTTAAATAAATTATAAAAAACGAACACGCTACTATAATCCCTTCATTTGGTGACCCCGACGTCTGAAAATAGGAGGAATTAACTCCAAACACGGCAAAGACTCTGATCAGGACGAGTTCATCGAAGTTGAAGATTCCAACGTAGAAATCAATACGAACAACATGCCGAAGGCGTCTGGCAGTGCACAAACCGCCGAGGAAGAAGACGAGAATCAAACAAGGTTAACAGTCAGGATTCCCCCCTTTTGGCCAGAGGAACCGGAGATTTGGTTCATGCAGCTTGAGGGACAATTCGCTCTCTGTAAAGTTACTGATGACAACGCAAAGTTCGCCTACGCTCTTTCACGAATTGAACCAAAACAAGCGAGGGAAATTAAAGACATCATCACACAACCTCCAACTCACGGGAAATATGTGGCATTGAAAAAGGCGTTGATTCAAAGGCTTACTGACTCTCAAAATCAGCGGATTCGTCAGTTGCTGGAACGAGAAGAACTTGGTGACCGAAAACCATCTCAGTTCTTGCGACACCTTAGCACGTTGGCAGGCACAGCTGTTTCAAAAGAACTCCTTCGCACGCTATGGCTTGGACGACTTCCTTCTCAAATGCAGGCAATTTTAGCAACGAGAAGTGAGGACAGATTAGAAGATATCGCAGAGCAAGCAGATCGAATACACGAAGTGAATAATAGTAAGGCACTCGTACTTGCAACTTCAGTACCTTCTGCTGAATCTACGCAGAATGCTTTGGAGGAGAAGATTTTAACACTCACTAACCAGGTTGCGGCACTTTCAACGCAGATGACAAAAGTACTTCGCTCAAATCGATCAAGAAATCAACGATCAAGAAGTCGTTTCAAACAAGAAAAATCCAATCAAAAAGAGGGTATATGCTACTACCATCGCCGATTCAAAGAAGAAGCACGAAAATGTACTCAACCCTGCTCTTTCAAAACAACAAAAAACTCGGAGGGCAGTCATTAATGGCGACAAGTGACGAAGGCCCTAAACCATGTCGCTTATTTATGATGGACCGCACTTTAAAAGTCAGATTCCTGATAGATACCGGCTCAGATGTTAGCGTCTTCCCACTCTCCATGGTACAAGAACAATTACCGGCACAGCAGTATCAGTTATTTGCAGCCAATGGTTCAGCAATAGCAACGTACGGAATGAAAACACTTCAACCAGACTTCGGATTAAGAAGGACAT